ACTTATCTTTCAAGTTCCCCCTTGAGTGTGGCTGCAATAGAGCTGCTGTCAATTTCTAGCTTGTATCCAAGCACTGAGAAAGCCCACTTATGAATGCTGCTCGAATTTTTTCACTTTACTTTAAGCTGGTAATTCAGTACTTTCCTTCATGTGCCAAAACTGTGACCTATGAGAGGGCAACTGGGGGAGCTGCAGTGGGTAACACTGGGAGATGGTCTCCCTTCCTGGGGAATGCTCTGGTCACATGTGTCCTGTGAAGTGAGTGGATGGGAGGAGTAAGCAGGTTTTGAATCAGCATTGTACTCATCATGTGTTCAGAGTCCTAGTCTTTCCTAATCAAGGACCAGACTTGAATTTTTGTAGTTTGGAAATACTATCTATTTGATCCTGAGTTAATCTTTATCTTTTTTTCTGAATATAAACTATAAACACATCTTTTTAAAGCTAAAACAATGGTCCTTTCCTTATATGACCCACCTGTTCAGTCATACAGTGCTTTTAAGAGCCTTAAGGTTGCTTTAGTGTTCTGCTCTTCTTGTTAAGTTGAAATTCCTAATTATATTGTAAATAAGGATGGTTGCATTTTTATTTTGCACACCAATTACGTAGTTAGTAGTGGCTAAGAGGATCATTGGATCCTCTTGGAAGCAGATGCTATGTCACACAGGAGAGATTTTAAAAGGGAAAATCAAAGGAGGAAGAAATAAAGCCAGGCTGGAGGATTCATCTGTTAAAGGTGTGGATATGATCCTATAGTTGGCATAAGAAAGGGAAAGAGTACCTCTCATTATTATGTAGAGATGACCGCATCTCAGATATACCAAAATACAATTTCAGCAAAGAATAGCCAATCAAATATTTCCTATAACAAAAATAGCCAGGCCCTGGGCCCTCGCTGTGTTTGGTCAATGAGGACTGACTGCATGAGGGCCAGGTTTCAAGCCAGAAACCTGAGACAGAGCCAGAGGCAGTAAAAGCTGAACACTATCAGTTAACAAACTGCCCGTCACAGGAAAATGGCAATTTCTTTCTTGAGATATCTGAGTGGCACCTCCATGACTCCATCAATAAGTTTGTAATTATTGCATGTGATCTGGACTTGAATGTGCTAGATTTATGTAAAGTTAATATAAGCCAATTGGATAAAATGAATTGATTTTGTTGACTCACTCAATTTTTTGATTACTTATCTCTCAGTTGCCAAGTTATAATATTTAACCAGAAGTTTGGATTTATGTATTTCTGCACTATAGTACATCTATATTTTGCCTTAGGTTAGTGAATGTAACTTAATTTGTGCATACATTTAAAACTTTTTCATCTTCTTTCTTTCATAATCATTTCTGCCTAAATATACTCAACTATTTATAAATTCACAGAATTATTTTTAGTTAGCATTTACAGATATACTTTTATTATATACTTTACCTTTTGTCTTTATATTAATCTCTCTTACTAGTAGACTATAATTAAATTTTATTGTTTTGTGTTGAGTCCAATGTAGCATTTTTTAAATCAGAACAGACAAATTATATTTAACAATATTACTATTGGTTGAGTTAAATAAATAACTCTATGTCTTCCAATAATTATATGTGCTACTTTCCCCTTTACTTCTCTTTGCTTCTTTTCCTATAAAGCATAACATCATTTTATCTCCATCTTATCTTTTTAGTCACATGATCTGCATTCTTTCAGTGGCCACCACAGGTGATAAAATATGCTTGGAGACTTCCCACTAATGCTTTTAGCACTTCTTACACATTTAGCAAACCCTAAGTTCAGTGCCATATATTCTTGCTTTGTTCAGTGCAATTTTCATCTATGTATTTTCTTTCTAAATAGTCTCAAGGACTTCTAATGTTATTTTTATTCATGTTTTCTACCGCCAAGATTTATTTCAATTTTTCTACATTTTTTCCCTTTCAGTACTGATTGTGTTGAGTTACCTTGTTGAACAACAACAATTTTCACCAGTCTTTCCTTCCTAGCTTCTTCTATCCATCTGAAAGCATTTTCCTCAAAAAAAAAAGATTGTGTTTTTGTACTTTTCATACCATATAAGTACTGCCAAATAATTCTGTAGTTATTTTCAGTTTGAAAAAAAATCACTATTTTCCTCTACAAAGAAAAGCAGTAACTTCTTCAAGAAAAAAATAGATTAAAATTGGAATTTTTCCAGCCCATGGATCACCCATGAACATTATCTATAGAGCTGTAGTAATATCCATGTTGACTGTTGAGCTTTTACAAATTAGTGTTTAGGGATTGCTGCCAGGGAAAGCATAGGAGAGCTAAAGAGTTGTTTTCTAAAGTAGTGAGAAGGAAAACATAGTCAAAACTGGAAAACTAAATATGGTATGAGCATAACTTGAGAGCCATTAGGTATAAAGTACAGCTAAGATAACTTAATAAAGTTTGTCTGTACAAAGAATATAGAGTGGAGAGAGCTACTGCCGGTTTTGTGCATTAACTTACTTGCCTTGCTACAGGTATATGGAGTCTACTTACTGTCTTCTCAAATACTCTTTAGATATAAAACTGTTTTATTTACAAATAAAATCTATCTTTACACACACATATATAACACTAAAAAGAAATTTGGGTCAGAAGAATAATGAAATTATTCTTTAATTATTATATTAAACTATCCAATAGAGTGTGTGGCACTTAGAACAAATGCAATATGGTATTTCCTTTCTTTATCCTTAAAGTCTCAGGAAATTGATCTGCCATCTGGACATCAATCTCAGGGCTTATGCTGCCTTCCTTCTTCTTGTCTATTTCCTACCATTTGATCCACGTTAATTCATTGTAGCACACGTCTTTTTTGGATTCCTCTTTTTAGACTGCCTTTCAGTAATTTTTATAACAAAGCAGCTGGAGCGCCTTTCAAGTTTCATTTTTATATTTGCTAGAGTCTTTTTTAAAAGCCTGAGGAAAAAATCTTTATTCAAGTTGTTGAACTTTACTCTCATGTATTGACAAAGTACTGAAAAAACAATTAGTAATTAAAAACTTCTTTGAATAACTCACATAATCCAGAACTTTGCTTATTTACTGAAGGCTTTCTATAAGGCTAAAACCTATTGACATGAGATAGAAAGATAGTTTCCAATCCGAAATCATAATTTTCACACTCTAAATGATAGCTTAATCATGCAGGGATAATTACCAGTCCAGGACTAGTAATGTTTACAGTGGGACTTCCCTCAGTTTGGGGGTCATTATCAGTCTTACTGCCCTTTGCTTGTACACCACCTCAGGGCAGCTCAGCATCTTCCAGTCTCAGTAACTTTTCTTGAGTGACTAACAAAGACTTATAAACTTCCATGTGTTTGCCATGTTTCTTCCCAGATATAGTTACCAAACTGCCACCTCTTGAGCCACTGCATGTATTGACCACCTGTATAGGTAATTCTGATGAAGTTTCAAAACCCTCTCTAGTGCTATACACCCTGAACAATTTTAGGGGTTCCTCACCAGAAACTCTGTTCTAAGATTCCTTTAAGAATGCAACTGCCATCGCAAAATGGTGAGACAAAGACAAATGGTGAACCAAGGCAATAGTGATACTCACAAGGCAGTATGTTCAAAATGAACTGTACAACTTGGGGGGAGGGGATAAGGGAGGGATGGGAAAGGGGAGAAATGGTAGGAAGGAGATAACAAGTTTGGTAAGAAATGTACTCACTACCTTATGTATGTAACTAGAGCCCCTCTGTACCTCACCTTGACAATTAAATTAAATTAAATAAATGAATAAAAAGAAAAATGAATGAAACATCGAAAAAAAGAATGCAACTGCCTTCAATGAGCTTAAACTGTTATTTTTAATCTAAGGCAAATAGAGTGAGTTATAAAGAATTTTAGGGCACTGGCTCAGCCAGCACAAGGCCACGAGTTCAATCCTCAGTACCAAAAAAAAACCCCACAAAAACATTAGTGTTAAAATAGAATGATCACAAGCTCTTTACCTGTTTCCAATTAGGGAAACTTCATGAAAGATGTTCTATGGCCTTGCAATTACTTCCTCTACTCTCGAACATCCCAACGTGTGTAGCACTTGGAACACTCTCTTTTACAAATTTTATATTTATGTATAAATACAATATATATGCTATAGTATATTCACTTAAATGGCTTTTACATTTGAGAAAATAAATCAGTTATTATTAAATAGTGTGTGTGTGTGTGTGTAAAACAGGACTTGAACTCAAGGCTTAGGTACTGTCCCTGAGATTTTTTTCTTTTAATTTTACTCAAAGCTAATGCTCTACCTTTTGAGCCACAGCTTCACTTTTCGCTTTTTTGGTGATTGATTGTAGGTAAACGTCTTATTGGCTTTCCTGTCTGGTCTGGCTTCCAACCATGGTCCTCCAAACTCAGCCTCTCTGAATAGCCAGGATTATAAGCATGAGACACTGGTGCTTAGTGACTTGTTATAGTTTACTGTGACTTGTTATAGTTTACTGTGACTTGTTGTATTTTAAGACATTTTTTAAAAAGCTTGGCATATTTTATTTTAAATACTAACATTATTTGCTAGATAACGTATGTGTAATATGAATATTTTTATATTTTGGTATAATATTTTAAAATATTATGTATCAACTAGCATGGTGTCACATACCTAAGATCCTAGCTACTTGGATAGTAGAAGGTAGACTAGTTCACAAAACTTTAGCAAGACCCTTCCTCAAAAATATACATTAAACCAAAGAGCTAGAAGCCAGGTTCAAGTGGTAGAATATCCTCTACAAAAATTGGGTTCAGGAGTTTGGGAGGAAGAGTCAGCGGCTGCTGGGGTTGGGGGCTGGGGCTGCTGGGGCGCAGTGCATAAAGGGACCCCCGGGTGATGCGGCGATCCACTGTGGCAGCCCCAGAAGGTGAGTTGGCCCCGGCCGACCCGCGATCGCCCAGGCGGCCTCAGGCCTGCTGGTCCCTTCCCTGTCCCTCCCCGGTCCCAGTCCCAACCCCAGGGACTGCTGCCTCTCACCATGGCTCTGAAGAGAATCCAAAAGGAATTGAATGACCTGGCACGGGATCCCCCAGCACAATGTTCAGCCGGCCCTGTTGGAGATGACATGTTTCATTGGCAAGCTATCATAAGGGGACCAAATGACAGTCCCTATCAGGGTGGAGTATTTTTCTTGACAATTCATTTCCCAACTGATTACCCCTTCAAACCACCTAAGGTTGCAGTTACAACAAGAATTTATCATCCAAATATTAGCAGTAATGGGAGCATTTGTCTTGATAGTCTACGGTCACAGTGGTCTCCAGCACTAACTATTTCAAAAGTCTCTGTTGTGTGATCCCAATCCAGAAGATCCCGTAGTGCCTGAGATTGCTCGGATCTGCTAAACAGATAGAGAAAAGCACAACAGAATAGCTCGGGAATGGACTCAGAAGTATGCGATTTAATTAAAGCAATTATTGGATAACCTCTACAAATAAAGATAGGGGAACTCTGAAAGAAAAAGTCCTTTTGATTTCCATTTGACTGCTTTCTATGAGCCCACGCCTCATCTTCCCCTGTGCACATGTTTACCTGATAAAACAGCAGTGCTGCTTGTTGTACACACTTGGAACAACAAACTAGAGATACTGTACTTCTGTACCAACATTGCCTCCTAGCAGAGAAGTATGTGTGTGAAAAGCCAATCTTCCAGGCGTAACCTAGGTGTGAAACTAAAAACTTTACTTATTGGCAGAAATTTGGATAACGGCAAGGTGTGAGGGATGGTGGCACATGGTGTGTACTTGGATGGGGGAAAGCTCCACTGCTCTGTAGGAGATTGTTTTTAAGTGGAATCCATTTAAACTCAATAAACTGAATAGCAAGGTGAAGAACATGAAGGTATTTCTGTATTCATTTTCTTGGAAGGACCTACAACTTAGGTGAAAGCTATGACCAACCAGATTAAACTACCCATATCCTGTATTCTTAGGTCTAAGTTTAACTGGTCAACATTTAAATGGATTGGAGCTATTGGTACAAAAAGTGTAATGGGCTTCGTTTCCAACTCTTTTACATTTCCCTACCCTTTCAGACTTTCATTCTCTCTCTCTCTCTCTTTCTATCTCTCTCTCTTTCCATATTCTCTGGTTTGTATGTGGTGTCTCAGTTAATACATACTAATAGCTCTTATTTTTCTTATGTTTTCAACTGCTTAGGCCTATTTGGATGTAAGGGTGAAAATTTATTTGATGGAAATACTTGTGTATATTTAAATACCTAATTGCTCCTCTGGAGCTTGTACGTTCAAGAATGATTAATCTGTAATAAACTGATTACTACAGTCATTACATATAAAAAATTGGGTTCAATCACCAGTATTGCTAAAGTAGAAAAAACAAAATAATGCATAAGTTAACATGTGAACATATAAATTCGTAGCATAATATACAGCTGGTTCATGTCTGTGACCTTAGCAACTTGGGAGGTTGAGATTTTGAGGACAGTAGTTCAAGGCCAGCCTAAGTAGAAAACTTTGAATGATCCCCTCTAAACCCACAGCTGGAATCAGTGATACAAGCTTTTCATCCCAAACTCAATGAGAGGCTGAGATTGATAGGGCCATATTTCTAGGCCAACCTAGGTAAAAAAAACTATCTGTGAAACTCTTCATGGAAAGGAATTTGTATATCTTGGCATGTGGCTATGATCTCAGCAATAAATGGGAAGCTTAAAATAGGCAGATCATGACTAAGGCTCATGCCTGCATGAGAGTTAAGAGCTTATCTCCTAAATAAGCACACACACACACACACACACACACACACACACACATACACACACACAGAGACAATCAGCAAAAAAACAGGGCTGAACTTGTGACTCAACTGATAAATCAACCAAGTTTGTTTGTTTGTTTGGTTAAGATTGTTGGTTAAATTAAGTGAAAACTAAGACCATTTGTGAAGTATGATTTGGTGATACTCTAGTATTATAAAAAATAAAATAATTATTCAGGTTATACACATAATTTAATCTAACAATCTTAACATTTCCCCAAAGAAAGCTATGATTGCCGGACACCAATGGCTCACACCTGTAATTCTATCTACTCAGAAGGCTGAAATCTGAGGATCACAGTTCAAAGCCAGCCCTGGCAGGAAGGTGTGACTCTTATCTCTAATAAACCACTGGAAAACCAGAAGTGGCACTGTGGCTCAAGTGTAGAGTGCTAGCCTTAAGCTGGAAAGCTTAGGGACAGCGCCCAGGCTCAGAGTTCAAGCTCCAACATTGATAATAAAAAAAGAAAGAAAAGAAAAAAGAAAGCTATAATTAGAATATTTTAAGCATGACATTTTTGATGTTGCCTCCTTAGAAATGAGAGCTTAATGGAACTCAGAGGTATGTGTGTATGTGTTACCAGAGAATGCTGTAGGTGTCTGTTCCCATTTCATTCCCATCTTTAATCCTCTCAGCAACAACTTCAAAACTCAAAGGGGAAATTGTTAGACATTTTAAATGACTTTAAATTTAATTGTTAACTCTAAGTAACAAAAAGTGAAATTGTGCTGTGAATTTTGTCACTTTGTAATCATCAGAATTTGTAAAGTTGTGAGAAAAGCAATAATTCACAGAAGTGAATAGAAAAGAGAAGAGAAAGAAAATATTTTCTAGGATCGGATGAACCAATGATCGCTGATATTCTACCATTTTGCATCCAAGTGGGAGCCTGTGTGTTTAGTCATCTATTGTTAAATGTATATCATGCAATGTTTTTATTTATAAAAATTAATTGTAAAAGGAATTCTCATTATGATATTTCCTTGCTTTGATCAAAGTCACTCTTTCTGTTACTTTCTTTTCATTCCCCCCACTTAAAGCAATTTTAACAGATTTCAGTACATGTTTTCCATACATAGTATACAAAACTTAGGACCATATTTACTTCCCGCTTTCACTTCCTCACTCTCATTGATTCTCCTCTACTAATTGTCAAATAGTCCGTGTTTCACATTCATGTCATCCTTTTCTTTTAATAATAAATGTAATCATTTATTTATTTGGCAATTGCTGAGTAGAGATTAGACTAAGCAAAGATGTAACATAATGGCAAAATCATCTCAGACTTCAATCTGATTATCTCAGGTTCCCACCCCCTTATTTTATTCTTACTAAGAAGGTGATGTACAGAGGGGTAATAATTACATTGTCAGGTAATGAGCATGTTATTCTTTTTTAAAATATGGTCTATTAGAGTCTGCATATGAAAGAAAGAAATGTGGTATTTATGGTTTTTACTCTGGCTTATTTTGTTTTCCATAATAATCTTCAATCCCAACCATTTTCTTCCTTTCAATGATGCAATTTCAATCTTGTTTATATCTAAATAATACTCTACTATGTATGTATACTACATATTCTTTACACATTCATCTATTGATCAGCACCTGGATCAGTTTAGTAGCTTGGTTATTGTGAATAGTGATACTATAAAATGTGGGTATTCACATATCTCTGTGTTAATTTGCATCCCTTCAGATATATGCTCAGGGGTGGTTGAACAGAGTCATCTGGTACTTCTATATTTATGGTTTTATGTTTTTGAGGTATTTCCATACTGATTTTCACAATGGTTGGTTGCATAATTCCCATCTGTGCTGTATAAGGATTCCATTTTCCACACGTCCTTGCCAGCATTTGCTGATTGTTTTACAGAAAAGTTGATACATTTTGACAATGGATGGCCTCCTTTCGTGTATCCCCCACATCTAAATAATTTAGCTGCAACGTGTAAAATCTAACATAGTTATGAAACAGAAAGAATTTTAAAAGAAGAATGGATTGCCTTTGTTGTAATCAATTAACAAAAACAGTGTTTTGGACAAAATTTATTAGCTTACAATTTTCAAGATCAGAAGTCTCTGGTATAGGTCATACTAAGCCTAAAGTAAGCTATTGGCATGTGGGTTCTTTCTGGGAACTGTAGAGGAGAAGCCATTTCTTGCCTTCTCTAACTGCTTGAGGCTGCCTGTGGCCATTCCTTGCCTTCTCTAACTGCTTGAGGCTGCCTGTGGCCCCTCCTGTCATCGTCAAAGTGCATCACACAACTTTGTTTCTGTTGTCCCCTTTTCTCCAATCTTAATCTCCTATCCTGTGACTACACTGGGTCTACTTCTATCATACAGTGCACTTCATCTTTGTTTCTGTTGTGCCATTTTCTTCAAGTCTTAACCTTGTATCTTTGACAACTACATCTATCATATAGTGTAACTGATTTTATTTCAAGATCACCAACTTAACCATAACTACAAAATCCCTTTTCCCATGTGTTCCAATTAAAGTATACATGATGACAAACAGGCCTTTTTTTAAAGGAATATTATTCCTTGTCTTATAGAAAACAATCTCTTTTTTGTAGAAGATATGATAATGTTTTTTAAAAATCTATCAGAATCTACATAAAATCTAATCAAAATAGAACAAAAGAATATAGTATATCTTAATATAGCAAAATAGCTAGTGAACATAGAAAAGTTAATATGCTTTATGTATTAAGAAAGTATGTTAAAATACAATGGGAAATCATGGAGATAAAATCAGAGTTAAAACCTTGTAAAAAAATTAAAAAACAAACAAAAAACAGCACGCTGGGCGCTGGTGGCTTAAACCTGTAATCCTAACTACTCAGAAGGCTGAGATCTGAGGATCACAGTTCAAAGCCAGCCAGGACAGGAAAGTCCATGAAACTCTTATTCCCAATAAACCACCAGAAAACTAGAAGTGGCGCTATAGCTCAAGTGGTAGAATGCTAGACTTGAGCTGAAGAGCTGAGGGAGAGCGCCCAGGCCCAGAGTTCAAACTCCATGACCAACAAAAAACAAAAACACCCAGCAGTGGTGACCTCTGAAATCTATCTCTGAGGTGTGTAATATATTTTATGGCCTCTATAATTAAAATATCTACTCACTTGGAACTAATAAATAAACAAGTAGTTTTTCTAGTGTTACCAGTTATGGGTCCTTGAAGGATGAAGATTTGTGGGCTAGAATTCAGACATAGAGGCAGATTTATGACTCTAAGACACAAGACTTACAACTCTAGGTGCTTAGGTTAGAGGATAACTTTTCGGGTTTCCTACTGCAAGTGGTCTGACATTTTGTGGCTAGTGACATCCTTGGCTCTATGCAGATGCTGGAATAACAGTAATCAGTGACAATCAGAACCCAGATGGTACAAAAGTTCTTAAGTCCTGGGTGTCAGGACTCTCAGCCTTTGAAGCCTCATAGCTCTGATCCCACCAACTCTTCTAGCTCTTCCAGCTTCCGAGCATGGCAGTTTCTTATTCACCACCTTTCACTTTCTGCAGTCCTGGATGTCTGAATTATTTATATTTTCACCATTCTTTATTATCTCCACCACTACCTTTGCCCCTGGCTGTTCTAATCCTTTCTACTGTCACCACCAC